CCCCAAAACCCCAAAACCCCAAAACCCCAAAACCCCAATAAAAATAAAATAAACTGAAAATAATAATTAAGGAAATCGAAGATTACCATTCAGATGGTTGACTTGAACTATTCCATCCTCCATCTGATGAATTTCCAGGAGTTTGCTGAGATAGAACAGAGTTTGAATCTCCCCAAGCTGAGGACACATTTCTTCCAGATCCCCAAGGTGATCCATCGTTATTTTTATTGCAGCCTGTGTCTCAGGAGCCACTACAATTGTTCTTGCCTTTGCTCGAGCATTTCTTTATACAGTAGCATTTTTCATTGTATTTATTGGGAGCTCTGTTGGATCCATCACCACCTCAACTTCCTTTATATACTCCCATACTTCTACTAGTATGTTTATTGGTTCATTCTTGAGCTATATGGCCTTTATCTCCGCACTTGAAGCAGCGTCTATTTCTTCTGCTACTGTTATGATCTCTTCTTTGTGGGCATTCCTTAACCTCATGACCTTCTTTACCGCACCTGAAGCACTTTCTATTGCTTTTATCTTTGTTATGATATCCTCTTTCTGGGCATTCATTAATCTGATGATCTTCATTACCGCACCTGAAGCAGCCATTATTCCTCCATTTTTTTCTTCTGGTTCTACTATTGCTATCATCCTGGCCAAATATTTTCTCAAATACATTTTGATCAGTCAGAGTCTTCTTCTCTTCTTCAAATTCATATTTTTGAAGCATTTTCTTCACTCAGGGTTTAGTTTTAGATGGTTTGATGAATTTAGTTCTATATTCTTTTGCTAAGTAAACTATCCTCGGTTCTGTATTCCCCAATGATTTCCTTACGATTCTGTCCTTTTTAGTTGTTTCAAATATTCTCTTGTCCTTATCTATATCTCTGCGATATTCAGAAGTGTTGTACTTTTTGAGGAACCAAGTTTCCACTTCAGAGAAACTTGTGAATAACCTATTATGGAAGAAATATCCGTCATAAATGATATTTATGAATTCCAAAACAATTTTTGTTGCGTCTACTATATACCCAAGGCATATGTTTTTATGATACTTTGAGAAGATAGTGTATCAATAGGGAAATTTACATTCTTCTTGTTCTCCTTTGTTTTCCAGGTATGTTCTCATCTCAGATACTCCTTGAATAATTTTGAAGTGTTCGTTACGATATGCATCTTTTTTGGATCTAATTTCTCTCAAGCTGCAACTAATTCTCCAATAGTTTTCTTGCCCATTTTTATCTGATCATTAATAATATTCTTAGCAATGTTGTAATGATCTGGATGAATACGAGTACTATCTAGATATTTCATGATGATTTCTTCATCAGCGAGCTGATCATCTTTTACTCTCTTCGGTCCTTTAAACACCATGAATCCAAGACTGTTCCTAGAGACAGTATTTGAAATACTCTTGCTCTTGATAATATCCTTTCTTGAATTAAATTCAAGCTTGTTTTCCTTGATCTTTTTCAACATTCAGTCATATTTTTTTTGATCCAAACCCACATAGAAATCTCATTCCGTAATAATTGGTATCAAATTCTCTCATATTTAGGCATTCTCCATTTACTCTCTTGGTAAGCTCAAGCTTGAACAATCTATGGATCTCATCTTTATCACATAAGTACTGCAAAGGATGAAATGAAAGTGTTGACAATGTATTAGACGATTTGTGTTCATTCCATGCTCCTGTCAGCATACTCAGGTAAGACTTAACAATTCTGAAGATCATTTCTTCAATAACTCTTCCTTCTTGCCTTTTATAGACATTGATTGGCTCTACTGACTCGGATGAACTTTCAAGGATGCATATCATTGGCTCGTCTAAAGGAAGAGTTATGACCTTTAACTTCGGATTTGTCTCTTTGATCATTTGCACAGTGTTTAGGATTATAGGGGAAGCCAGTATATATGCTATTCAATCGATTCTATTCTCTGAAATAATACTCAAAAAAAAACTTTTGAACTTGAATCATAATTGTCGGAAAAATTTCGAATTATGTTTTCTTCATCTTTCTCACTCCTTAACTGCCCAACCTTGGAATTTGAAATATGATATGCCATCAAATCATCTTCCATATAATAGTGTAATGAAAGCATATTGGTGCCACTATAACCGTAATTCCTGTTCGTAACCTTCTTAAATTCCATGAGTCATTTCAGGTTTAACTGGTCAAGTGCCTGGGATTTCAGTTCTTTGAGAATAGTGAGGTCAACTATCTTATCTTTCACAATCCGAACTGTCTGAGAAATGATTTGTTCATGGTATTTTTCCCAACTCTGTAACTTCTTTCGATATTCTGAATACTTGGAACCTCTAAATTTCTTCATATCTAATTTGCGGAAAGTATAACTACTAAGCATTACAGTGTGAATCTTTTTTTCAAAGACTTCTGAGTGGAATTCAACCATTATCTTCTCTTTCTCTTTGTAATCAAGAATCAGTAGCAATAAGTCTAGGTTGTTCATTAGCACAGTGAATGGAACCTTTTTTAGCCTCTTGATTGTAAAGCCTTTTTCGTTGAAGTGAATATCCTTCTCATGTTTCTTTGCAGGAGAGGTACTTATTTTGACATTTTGGATGAACACATTTTTCAGAATAGAGGCAATTTCTGGATGAAAAGCAATTTCATTCGAAATATAGTTGATAGAGCTTGTGTAAAAACTTTTAAAGTTCACCAACCCCTCTTTTAGATATTTCTTGGCATAAGTTTCTAGATCTTCTTTCATCAGAGTATGGAAATGTTTTCTTTTAGATGAATGCACCTTAAGGTTCTCTAATAACTGTGAAGGTGATATGAAACAATTCCTGTTGAATTCATCAAAGACTTCAGAGGGAAGTACTTTCTGCGGTTTCTCCATTCGAAGCGAGAAATTATAAGGGTCTTTGTAATCGCTCAGCTTGTATCTTAGATAAGTCATAATTCTGTTATGAAAAGGAATATCAGAATAGTGATTCTTTTTCATTTTGAGGAGCTCTTCTTTGATCTCTTTGGATGAAACCATATCAAGTAAAATATCAATTTGTTTTTCAATCTTTCTGTATTCAGTCCATTTAATGTCCAATTCGCTGATTCTCCAAAGATCTTCTTCGGTTAAGGAATCAGAAAAGATCTCAGATCTGTAGAGGAAGATAAATGGGATATCATTATGCTTTAATATCATTTCATAAAGGGTCGTATAGATAGATTCCTTAAGGTCTTCAGACCTTTCATATCCAAATTGTGTGAATAGAAGGTGGTAAATAAAACTAGTTTCTTTTAATATCTCACTACTATCAGTCTCAGCTCTGTTTTTCAACACTTCTTGAAGTCTTTCAGGGATATCAGTGTTTGAGATTGCTTCATTGTTTCAATCCTTATACATTTTTGCTCTTTTAGATTGGTAATTATTCCCAGTCTTAAACTTTGTACTCGTATCTTTATTTTCATCTTTGAATTTCTCCCCTTCATTTTCTGTATTTGCTCCCTTATTTTTTCTGTCTGTTCCTTGAGTTTCTCCTACTATCTCACTTTCTTTTACTCTTTTGCCTTTTTCGCCTTCTGTTTTGCTTTCAGACTCTTTTTCCTGCTGATCATCAGACTTTTGTAGTTCACTCTCAGTCTTTTTATTAGAATTGACTTTCTCTTTGGGGTTATTGTCCTGGCCATCCAAAGCACCTTTATCAGAAAGTGGTAAAATTTGTGGGGATGGGTACTTTTCTTCTTGAGTCTCCATGAATAGATCTAGTAGATATATGTTTGCTTTAGTGAGTATTCCTGGGACTTCTAGAGGTTCTGAAGCCTAATTATTAAAATAAGATTTTTTCAAAGGTTTAAGTAATTGTTTTGGTCACTTTTCAATATTTCGATGGACACTCGGGGTTTTGGGGTTTTGGGGTTTTGGGGTTTTGGGG